ACACATACACTTACACACACACACATTTACATTATAGTTTGCTTTTTTACACACACACAATCTTGTCTGATTCCCGACTGCTATGGACAGAATATTTATGAGCCCACACACACACCCCAATTCCTATGTTGGAGCCCTAACTCCTCAATATGATGATATTTGGACGAGGGGCCTTTGAAAGGTAGTTAGTTAGATAAGGTCATGAAAGGAGCCCTCATGATGGGATTAGGACCTGATAAGAAGACACTCTTTTTCCACCATTGAGGACAGCATGAAGCCAGACATTTGCAAGCCAGGAAGAGGGCCATTACCAGGAACTGAGTCAGCTAGCACCTTGATCTTGAATTCCACAGCCTGCAAAACTGAGAAATAACTGTTGTTTAAGTTATCCAGTCTATGGTATTTTGTTATACCAGCCCAAACTAAGATACCTACTCCCCTGGTCCCTGCTCTGAAGATGATTTTCCCCTTGCTGAGTAGCCAGGCAGACACCCACATGAATGAAGAATATAGACAGCAGCAATTTTGTGCTAAATGAGCAAAAGAGACAATAAAAAGTAAGGAAGTTCAGAGGAGGTAAAGAGCCCAAGGTAGGGACTCTTTATCCCCTTACTTGGAGATAATAATAGAACTGGAAATTAAGAATCAGAAGTTCCAGTTAGGCTCCCTAGGAATTAGACTCTGAGACAGAGATTGGCTGCAGGAGGTGTATCAGAAATGCTCTTGTTGCAGAGAAGGAAGAAGGATAGACCAGAGCTGTGATGTAGTCTCAGTGGAAGCCTCAGCTAAACCTACATGGAACTCTAAAGCTAACCTTCAGATTTCTCCAAAGATAGGGGAAGAGGGAAGTATAAAAGAGAAGGGTCAATCAGTCTTAGAAGGGAGCTGCCTTGGAAATAGAGAAGGATCCTGAGGGCACAGCTCTCTTCAACCAAGGCAGTCCCCATGGGAGCTAAGAGCCAAGATCCGCCTATTGGCAATAGTTCTAGCAGCTGAGAAAACATGTCCTTTATTCCTGAAAAGGGATCTGGGTAGCACATCACACCATCCTCCTGGAGAAGGACTTTAGACATTACTTACCCTAAGTTCTTATTTTATAATATCAGAATCTGAGGTCGCAGGAGGGTAGGTGGTTCACACATAGGATCCAGGGCTCCTAACCCCCACACTATCACACTTTGCACTACACCATGCTGTTGTTGCTTTAAAAAATACTAGAAACATATTTAAAATGGGTTATCTGGATGGAGATGGTGGCTTGGAGGAATTCCTTTAAAAACATTTTAATTTTTAAAGATTTTTAATCTTTTATTTTTTTCTAAACTTTTGAAAGTTTAGAAAAATGGAGTTGCTCCAATTACTTGGATATTAGTTTAGCTTTAAACTCTTAGTTGATATTAAGTCAATGTGAAAAAAAAAAAATAACAGAACCTAAGAAATCACTAATCCCTATCCTCAGCAACAAGCACATTTTTCTTACCATGGATCCAGCATGAAGGATGCAGAGAGCTTAGTGAGTGTGATTTTCCTACAATGTAATGAGGGCCCTGTCTTCCCAAGAAGATCAAACTCTAGGAAATTATAGCAATTAACTATTGCCTGCCTGATAGACAACAATTACCAAAAGTCAACCCAGCAACATTGAAAATGACTTCAGGTAAACACTGTATTAATGAATCTCCTATATCACTCAGTATTCTTCATTGCAAACAGCAGAATCCACTCTGGCTAATTTAACTAGACAAGCAGCTCATAGACTTCCTAGTGGTAGGGGAGCAGAGACCTAGCTTGGAGGCTGTGCTAACCTGAACGATGTCCACATCACAACTAATAAGCTGCTCCATCAGTGATTAGAGTGTTGTCATTCCCTGTCATGGTGAGGACACACATTGACGCTGCTGAGACTGGAGACCAGAGCTTTGCCAGTGCTACATCAGTCATGTGTGACCCCTTAGACAACACCTCTCTCTATCTACAGGAAGACTCTGCATGTCCCTCACCCTGCTCACTTCCAAACCAAAGTCAAAAGTGGGTAGTGCCTAGAGCACATACCAGTGCTCCACCTACAAAGAAGGCTAAGAAACCACTTTGGATTCTACCTCAGGAAAGCAGATTCATTAAGTGAATATTTCTTCATGTGTAGGAAGTGTTCTAAGGATTTTGGGTGGCTACAAGCATCACAAGTTTAATGATTCATACTTTACAGATAGAAAAATGAGGCTTAAACTTGAAGAGCCCAAAACTTAGCTAGTTAGACTGCTTGTAAATAATTTAAGAAAATTTAACCTTGGTCTGTCTGACTGTAAAGACTATGCCCTTTGGCACTTTACTATACTGGGTATTTTATGGTGACTAAGCTTTCTTAGTAAAGAGCAAAAGGAAAATAAAACCTCTAATCTACCAGATGAAAGTTTGTTTCCCAATCTTTTCTGATTCACCATCACCCTTCTTGAGTGCTTTCTTTGCTAAATGGAAAGACCTGTGTTCCTATATCCTGTATGTGGAATCAGTATCAGTCAGGATCCTTCATTGCAAGCCACAGAAACCAACAATGGTCAGTTTAAGAAGAAAAGAAATTTGTTGAAGTTATTTTAAGCTCTTCAAGAATTACAAAATGTCTGGGGCACCAATTTCCTAAAATGTGCAGAAACTAAAAGCAGGCAGGCAAATGAAGCCCCAGGCAAGGCCACACCACAGAACAAACTAGCTAGGAAACTGCTTCCCTCAGCTGGCCACTGGCCACTTCCACCACTGCCAGTAGACACTACTGAAATCACTGGCACAATAAATTTACCTGTTCTGTTCTTTTTGTATCACTTGCTCTTGATTCAAAACTAAGCATTGACTGATCAAGATGGGGGTGGGGAGGTCAAACATTTGGGCTTTGGGACTTTTATAGAGGGAGACTATGTCCTGCCTCACCAAGATTCCTGCAGGAGATTCCCCAACCTAGGAGGGTGGTTCAGATATTGGCATGTGCAGCCGAGGATCAGAAATGAGACACATCAGTCCTGATGCATTGATATCAGAGACCCAGTTCTGATAGGTGTGTAGACCCCTGTTACAAGTCATTTGATCACTGATCTGTTCCCTGGTCCCTGAGAAATGAAAATGTGAATCTGGGGTCTTCCTCAAGTGTGTAAGATGTGAATGGCTGTAGCACTTGAAAGTGAGAGGTATCTGGTTTTCTCCATACTGAAGATGGGGAAAGTCTTATCCACGGAGAAAAACAACAAGAAGGGAGCTCTGGGAGATCTGTCAAGGCCTGAGAGTAACTCACGGTCAAGCCAAAGGAAAGCAAGGAGGACAGAGGACTCCACTAAGCAGAACTGAAGGCTTCTGATCACCACACAGCTACTTTGGCCATCCTTTAGGGTCCAAGGATAATCTTGAAGCCCTAAGCACTACGAGAAGTGGTCTGACCTGAAAGCAGAGGAACACTGAAAGATATCCTGGATCCTACTCTCTATACATCATTAACAACAAAAAATAGTAACATTTAACTCATGTGAGATACTCTACTAAGTACTTAATGTGGATTATCCCATTTCACGCTCACAAGATCCCTTTAAGGCAGATCATATCAACATTTTAAAGGTAATTCACAGTATTATCCATATTTTAAAGATAAGCAAACTAAGGCATGTTGTTTAACTTGCATAAGGCCACACAGTAAGTGGTAGAATGGGAATTTGAACTTGGGCAGTCTGATTTCAGGTGTCTGGCCTAGAATTTTTCCCTTTCCTTTAAGAATCACACTCTGGAGGGCTGATTTATAGACCACTTCCATGTTCTGTACAACCAGTTAGTTTGGCCTCCTGCACTGGAGATTAAAAAGAAGTATATTCCATCATGGTTGTACCAATGTACATTCCCACCAACAGTATACAGGGTTCCCTTTTCTCCACATCTTTGCAACATGTTACCTCTTGTTCTTTTTATAATAGGAATCCTAAAGCGTATGAGGCAATGCCTTATTATGATTTTGATTTGTATTTCCCTGAGGATTAATGATGTTGAGTATTTTTTCATTTATGCATTGGCCATATACCCAAGAACACAAACTTTTAGTTGAACAAGAGAAATAAGTTGAGAAAATCTGCTATATTACATGGTGACCATAATAATAATGTATTACATAATTGAAAATTGCTAATAGAATAGATTTTAAGTATTCTCACCACAAAAAAATAAGTATGTGAGGTCATGAATATATCAAATAATTTCATTTAGCCATTCTACAGTCTATACACATATTAAAACATCATGCTGAGCATCTTAAATATATCACTTTTTTACCTGTCAACTTTTTAAAAGATACACTTTTAAAAAATGGTGTACATAGGCAGGCATGATACCTGCTGGAAGTGAGCAGCACAGCACCAAATTTTTTTTAATTTTTATTTTATTCATATGTGCATACAATGTTTGGGTCATTTCTCCCCCTTCACCCCGCCCCCTCCCTTAGCCCCCCTCAGCACCAAATTTTTAAGTGCATTTCTGCTGATTCACTTCATTGCCCCCTCCTCCAAAAGGTGTTGATGTCAGTGAGTCCCACACTTAAACTTGCTTACTCTCATCACCCATATGCTGCTTCTCTATAAAACATGAGAATGGGGCTTGATGGTCTATCTCAAACAACCTTTCCAAGTCCAAAATTTTGTACACCTAATGTTTTCTAGACACTGGCCCATCCTCTTGGGTCTCATAGTCAATTGTTGAGATCAGCAAGATCATCCATCCTTTGTCATGCAGGCCAGAAAGGCCAGGACCATGACCTTTCTATCTCAGTTCACCCACAAGGCATACCCCTTCAACACCAGGTCAGAAAAAGACATGAGGTGGGCAATTCTATTAAATGAACAGATACCTACTTTTGTGAGGATTAAATAAAAATTCCTAAAAATATTAGAGAAGCATGTTCCAAAGCATACAAGAAAAGTTTAATCCAAATGGGCTTTTTAGATTGCCTTTTCTAATGTTAATTTTCTGTTCCAGAGAGAAGCCAAGATGGTGAAAGATGGGAAGGTCTTCAGAGTGGTCCAAGAGAACTGTTGGGACCCAGAAGTTAGGATTAGAGAAATGGATCAGAAAGGTACTTATGATGAGAAATGCTACCAATGTAAACAACATCTGATGTAAAAGCAATGTTTGCCCTTAAAGTCTATTGATCATTTGGCATGAGTTACCTGATGACAACTTCTGGTAACCTTTTCTCTGCCAGGCCAACCTGTTTCAGCTTCACTAGTGGAGGGAAGGACCTTCCACCACAATCCCTTACAGAATGGAATTAAAATGCTTTCAAATAAGTTATACTCTATTTAAAAATAGAATACTATATCATCTAAAAGATAATAGTGGCATTTTATTATTTAAAACATGTTCATTTGTATCATGGAATCAATTGAAAGAGTAAAATTAGAAATCACAGATTAAGGAAACCAGTTGCCTGGTTAGTCAGACTTGGGATCCAATTTCTTTCTGTAGTTTGTCTCAGTGCACCATGCATAGAATATCCCCACTGACACGTAAGGAGTAAAAGTGGAAACACTTTTTTAAAAAGTTAATCAGAGCTGGGTACCTGTGATTAATGCCATAATCCTAGCTACTTGGGAAGGCTAGGATAGGGAGGATCACAGTTCAAGACCAGCCCAGGCAAATAACACACAATAGCCCATCTTCAAAATAATCAGAGCAAAATGGACTGAAGATGTGGCTCAAGCAGTAGAGAGTCTGCTTTGCAAGTGTAAAGCCCTAAATTCAAACCCCAATCACACACACATACACACAAAAAAAATGTTAATCATGCAATCTCAGAATGCCCTGTGATGAAAACAATTCAGGAATTTGAAAGAAAAGAATTAGGAAATTTTTGTCTCAAAGCCGAGTTGCTGAACAACTTTAAGAACTGCTTGCACTCCTTATCTTGTATCTAAGAAAATCAAACAGATCCTCACAATTTAAACAAATTTCAAAGATTATCTAAAATACAATATAATGGCATGTTATATTTTCACTCATTAGGTAGCTGGTGGTGCCACCTGAGGAGAGCATGCTCAAAAAAGTGCACTGAGACTTCTGCACACAAATAGATCATGTAGGCCTATGGGCTGTGATGGGGAACTCACCACCACTATCATTGTCATATCTGAATTGTGACATTGGCCATCTAGATTTGAACCAGAAAACAAACAAACCATATACACAAAGAAAAGGGCAGTTTAGAACTATCATTTTTCTAATCAAAGACAAATTTTTAAGAAGTTCAGATATGCACACAGAGATGACAGGAGAGTTTCACTGTATTCCAAGGTCTGGAAAAAGGAGTCAGTCCAAAATGATGAGTAAGGGTTCCCTGACATATAACAATCTGATACAGATACCTCTGTTCAGATATTGCTTTATACAGTTTTAACAATTAAAAATATGTCTCAGTGGCCTTTAAATGGAACTCTTCAGAAAGTCTGAAGTTCCTCAGTAGATTATTCCACAAAACAAAGTGTACATACCCCTGTGCTATGAGTATACTAGGGTGTGAGAGGCCTGGAGAAGAACAAGCTTCCTAGATCTCCAGCAAGGTTTTGCTGCAAACATGGAGCAAGAGCAAGGGCCCATCCTTTCAAGCAGAAAACTAGTGGGAATGAGACTTTGCTGACTTGGTGTCAGAAATCATTTATAGTTGCCATACAGATGAAGTGTGTGTGTCTCTCCTTCGGTTTTTGTTGTATGCTTCATTCCATGGTTGTCCTTGAGAAAACAGAGAAAACAGTCATGACTAACCTTTACTGTACTTACTTCACTGACTTTGTACTACATACTGGTATAAGTACCCAATACATACTATCTCATTTAAACCCTACACCAACTCTGAGTGGTGGGCTTTCTTAAAGACAACATATTTTTTGGCTTCCAGGATCCTGGATTCTGAAGCTAAACTTAGGATCCTGGATATTCCAGACCATGATACTCCATCCAGACTGACTTAAGAGCTGAATTAAGGGGGCTACAAGATAAATTTTGTCATGACCCAAGATGGAAAGTCCTAAAAAAAATGTTGGAGAAATGTCTTGCCTAAAGAAAATTTCACAGGAAGGAGGGTAGAAGAGACCCTTGGTAAATAGAATCAGCTTATTTTTCTTAAATGATCTCACTTTTGTTCAACCTTTACCTCTCTCCAGAAAACCTGATGCAGGAATGAGAAAGGGGTTAAGAGGAAGGGAATGGGGAGGAATAAATAGCAAGGGAAGGAGGACAAGAGGAGATTGGGATGGAGGCTTGCTGGCCTCTTGGCCCTGGGAAAGAAAAGAGTACCTGGGCTTTCTCACAGTTTTGCCTTCCTTTGTGTCTATGTCTAGGAGTAACAGTGCAAGTTCTTTCCACGGTTCCCATCATGTTTAGCTACTGGGTGAGTGTGAAATTTTAAACCATCTTCTTGGTGGTGAAGGCTCAGAACAGTTTCCCAAACGGTAGACAAGTCTGTGGTTTTCCCTTTTCTATTTCCACCAGGCCAAACCTCAGGACACTTTGGACCTTTGCCAGTTTTTAAACAATGACCTAGCTGGCACTGTTGCAAGATACCCCCGGAGGTTTGTGGGTCTGGGAACATTACCCATGCAGGCTCCTGAGATGGCCATCAAGGAGATGGAGCGCTGTGTGAAGGAGTTGGGGTTTCCAGGTGTCCAAATTGGCTCCCACATCAACATGTGGGACCTGAACCAGCAGGAACTCTTCCCAGTCTACGCAGTAAGTATGCAGCTGTCAGTCAGCCAACAGGCATCCACAGAAAGCCTAGCTAGAGCTGGGTGTTGGAGGGGAGATGAAGAAGCTATCTCACTAGGGAGATGACAGACAGGCAATGACTTTAAATATAGGTAGGAAATGTGGAAACCTTCTACCAAAACCCCTCCCAAGAAAGGACTGTGTCATTCCACAGAAGAAGGATGGTAGAAGTACTTCCTAGCCAACCCTGAGTTAACTCAATGATGAAATATCTCCTCTTTCTATCACACTCACTTGTCTTCTAATCTTTTATTTGGAAATCTAAGTATCACTCTCATCACTGCCATTGTGCATAAGAACCATGTTAATATACAAAAAATATTTTTGCTTTGGAAAAATTCTTAATATTTTTCAAAAATATGAGATAATTTGAAGAAATCATGGAAAATACAGAAAAGCATAAGGAGAAAAACAAACATCACCCTTAATCCTGCCACACAAAGTGAATACTATTATAGTTCATTTTATTTTTTAAATTTGCATGTATCTATATTTTAACAAAATTGGAATTTTGTTATGTGATTTCATATCCTAATCGAGACTCTCCAAACTAAATGAAAATTATCTTAGTACATGATTCTTAAAAATATACATAATATTCCAATGTATGTTTTTTAAATTTATTTAAACAATCCTCAATTAAGAAACTTTTAAAGCCACATATTTTGAAGATGTATAATAAAAATATGTAATGAAAAGTAATGCCATGGAAATATTAACATTTGATTAAACTAGATGGTGGGTAGATGATGTTTGTTGTACTATTGTTTATACTTTCTATATTCAAAATATTTATAACAAAATATATGTTCAAATAAATAAATAAATAAAATATATGTTCAAAAAATTCAGTACCATCCATTTCTGAAGTACCCAACCTCAAGTGTTCATCATTTCTCCAGTCTTCCTCTCCTTCCTGTTCTTTATGTAACTGAACCTGCAATCCTCAGTACCAGAATTTAAGAACCATGATTTTTTGATCATTTGTATTTTTAAATTCCTTATTTCTCTCCTATAATTATGGTATGGTATTGTTTTCTATTATTTTCATTGTAAATGCAAAATCTTTAATAATAAATTAAATAGATGTTTGTGGGCTCACCAGGCACTTTATTCACTGTCATTTATTCATTTAATATTTATTGAGCTCTAATTTCATGCTAAAAAAATTCCATGTTTGTATCTATGGTGACTGCTCACCAGTTGGGGGAATTGCCTGTCAGATTACCTCCTAATGATCTGAAAGATTTAATATTCCTCTGAATATTGAACTCCCTGAAGCTTACTGGCTGCAGTGGTTTAGCTGATGCAGTGAATGTTTTCTGGAAACTTTAATGAGCTCTAAAAAAGGATTTATTTACTTGTGTATCCAAGTTGTTTCAGCTCAGTGTGAACAAGACTTCAGCTGCAAGTCATTTTATTATTCATCAAAATTAGATTTATGAATTACTAAGTGGCTTAGAAAGTAACAGCTGTTGGTTGGGGGTCCACATAGATATTTTGATTGTGTAATTAGCTTGGTCCCATCAATCATTCTAACTGTTTGGGGGGTGCTGCCAGTCTGTGAGGGACTCTGGAGCACATTATGACCCCAGTTGACTTGTGATGTCCCAGGGTTGACAGAACATTTGTTTGGTTAGCAAGGTTTGCCTGCCTCACTGCTCTCTAGCTGGCGTCAGTAAAGTGCTCAAACAAATGGGAGGAACTTTTGAGAGCCACTGAGTTGACTTTGTCATTTCAAAATAAGCCTGGTATTCCGTGCATCTTATGGTCTCCATTATCTCCTAGACCTTTCTTCTTAGCAAGCGAACCTAATTATATACACTCAGGTCAGTTTTCAGGTACAAAAATGACGTTATTACCAGTATGAGGCAGACAGAATAGTAGCACCTGACTGCCTGGCTCTACCATTTATAAGTTACAATATCTGAGTAAGTTACTTGAATTCTGTCTGCCTCAATTTCCTTCTCTATAAAGCAAGGGGAATAAGAGTACTTACCTCATAAAGGATTAAACGAGTTAATAATTGTAAAATTCTTATAATAGCTTTGACACATGGTAAGTTCTCGGTAAAATGTTAGTTATGATTTTGAGTGTATAAATGACTTTGTGTTCTATACAATGCCTCACATGTAGAAAGATTATTTTTTAAACTGTTAACTTGAACTGAATAGAAATGAACCAATATAGGCATATAAAACAGTTTTATCATAATGAGTCAAATCCCACTAACATACCACAACTGTGCGTCTTTGCCAAGCCCAAGCCATTCGAAAAGCCAATATTCTCTTTACAATCTGCATCCATTATCAGAAATCAGTTAGTTCCTCTCCTTCAAAAGGCTATATCTCTCTATTCCCCAGAACCTGTTGAGTTAGAAATCTTCTTTAATTTACCAGTTGCCTGCCATTTCCAGAATACCCAGTTGTCCAAAATTGTTTTTCCATTTTTAAAATGCTTATACATACAATTGATATTGCATCAGCCTAGTTAATCCAAGTATTTATGTATGAACTGTAGGATGAGTCACTCTAGAACCCCAATACATTTGGAAAGAAAATGTTCTAAGGAAAATCTGTTTTGAACCTTGGTGAGCACTAATATTCAATGACTGTTGAGGGGACTTATCTTAGTTAAACATTTTGTTGAATAAAGTTCATTCTATCCAGACTGTATTTCCATTTCCCAGAAGGCTTTAAAGCAAGCTTGCCCATGACATTCATCTTAGTACCTTCCCAGCTCAAGCACAGAGAGCTCTTTTCTCTCTAACTTCATCCCATTTACAGCAGACTATTCAAAGACTGAGCTGGGCTCAGAGACTGCAAGAATGTCTGCAGATCCCAGAACTTATGTCCAGTAGAGTGGCTCCATGACTTGAATCAGCCTGGCCCAGCTCAGCCCTGAGACCTTGGCTCCCACTGCATCATTTCTGCACTTTCTACAGTCTCAGGTTTCAAAGTGGAGGAAAAGGAGGGGCACTCCTATCCTTATTCCCAGGATACCATCTCAACCAATCTTCCAAAACAGTGAAACAAGTAGGAGCCAGCAGGGCTCCTTCTTCAGCACGTGTGGGATTCCTTCTTCAGCATTTTGCCATCAGCCAGAACATTTGAGTGATGGGTGTTTTCTGTGATTTGTTATGCCAAACATTATATTAAATTCATCAACCTCAATGGTAAATTCACCAATTCCTTTTGTTAAGTGTAAGAGTACTTTTTATTTTCCAAGCAGGGGCAGAGTTTGTCAATGACTCTTTTAAACAGATTAAGAAGCAACTTGAAAAGTATTTCAGTTTATTTATTCAGACCAATATAGACTCAGAGATAAACAGGTCCCTAAAACAGTACCTTGTATTTGTTGACTCATCCAAATAACCTTCTCTTTCTTATTGCTTCTTGAAGGCAGCTGAAAAGCTGAACTGTTCTCTGTTTGTGCATCCCTGGGACATGCAGATGGATGGACGAATGGCCAAATACTGGCTCCCTTGGCTTGTAGGTTTGTGTTAGTTTGGGGTCTAGATCAGAAGACCAACTCTTGGGTTTTTCCAATCATTTGTGGAACTCTATTATGTCAAAGAGAAAATGTATGAATAATCAACAAATATCATCTATTGAGCTCTTACTCAGATAAGTACTACATACATTATCTCCTTTGATTTTAATCATATCCAGTATGATCATAAATAAATCATATCTTGAATCTACAAGGTTGGCATTATAATGACAATTTTATAGATGGAAAAACTGAGTCTTGAAGTGGTTAAGTAAGTTGTCCAAGTTTCACAGTTCATGAGAAAAAATGGAATTTACTCATATTTGCCTGATTGCAAAGGCATTTCACTACACAAACTTCCAAATAGTCTCCAAAAAAAGTAACCATGCCTTTTATAGTAGATGTTGTCAGGTATCAGCGGTTATAAATGAGAAACCTGGAATTCTAAGTAGGTCAACTTCTATCATCCAATGATCTGAAGTCTTAGGTTGTAGAAGACTGAGGCTTTCAATATTCCTGTTATTTGTTCTTCTCTTCTAACTTTTGCATCCTACAATATTTATTCATGATTCCACATGAGAGTGAGAGAAAGGGAAAGGGGAGAAACTTCCATTAGACCTATCCAATCTCTCATTATCAGGCCTGAAAAGAAGAAAAGGTGGAAAGCAGATGTAAAATTCTGAAGCTGCTTCCCTTTTAGAGCTTATATTCTAGCTAGAAGAAAGAGATGATAATCAAGTATATATATCATAAACAAAAATATGGACCAATTTCAGAATTTTCTTGTGGCTATAAAGGTGATTGGTAGAGTAGAAGATTCACAGTAGGAAAGGCTCATAATTCAATTCACATTGTAAATGTAACTTTGACCCCTCTATGGAGAATGGTCTGTAAGGCTATGGTTCAAATAATTAATGGAAAGCAGAATCACAGGATCAGAAGGAAGTGGTGCTGTCTCTCCCCCTGCCTTCAAGATGCTCTGCTCACAAACCACTTCCAGAATTCCCAGGAGGTCAAGGATCTAGGAGTAACCTCTGCTTGTAGAGCAGTGATGGGCATAAGGCACATCCAGTGAAGCTCTAGTTGGCAGCCCAGACAGTTAGCTTCCCCAGAAAGTACAGGGCACAGCTGGGGAATAGTAGAAAATCTCTGAATAACAATCTGAAAATCAGTCATCTGGCAATGGAGCCCAAATTGGCTCCTTAGGGGTAAACCATGCTGCTGCTTCTAGAAGCACAGACACTTGAAACAATTCACATTAATCCAATGATTTTTCAACATTATCTCCAAGAGGCAGCGAATAACACTAATAGTTAGTATTTAGTGAGTGATAACTCAGGTACTATCTGCTGGAGCCTCAAAATAATCCACTGGCAGGAACTAACCATTATTATTCTCCATATACAAATGAGGAAATTGAGACAAAGAGAAGGAACTAAAATTTATGGAAAGCCTCTAGTGTGAAGTTCTAACCAAGAACTTTGGCAACATAATTATTTGCGAATTCCATAAAAACCCTGCAAGGTAGATAATACTATCTTCATCTTACGTGTGAAGAAGTGCAGGCTCTGGAACATTAAATAATGTGTCAGAGGCCAGGAGGCAGAAATTGCAAGAGCTACCCATTCAGCTCAGACACCCTGCTTGCCCCACTGCATCCAAAACTGAAGTCACAAGAATCATGACAAAAGTTAGGTCCTTGGTTCCTCAACTGTTCTAGCCATTAGATGACTCTCCCTGCAAGTGACAAATGGGAAGCTTCAGATGTACAACCTGTGTGCAGCCAAACCATGCTAGGGTACGGGGGCCCCATGTTTCTTGGCACTACAGTTCCCAGACCTTAGCTGCTGTTCCCTAGACATAAAGTAATGCACTTCTTGCATAAGGAGACAAGCCCTGAACCTTGTGACATTTTCCTCTTTCAGGAATGCCAGCAGAGACCACCATCGCCATTTGCTCCATGATCATGGGTGGGGTGTTTGAGAAATTTCCTAAACTGAAAGTGTGTTTTGCACATGGAGGTAAGACCCTATTTGTATTAATCAGCTCAAGCTGCCATAATAAAATGCCACAGACTAAGTGACTTGAATGGCTTAAACAACAGACATTTATTTCCTCACAGTTCTGGAGGCTAGAAGTTCAAGATCAAGGTGTCGGCAGGGTTGTTTTCTAGTGAGGGCTTTCTTCCTAGCTCACAGATGTCCAGCTTCTCACTGTTCCCTTGCATAGAACGGTGCATACATGGGTGGGGAGAGAGGAAGGAGAGACAGGGTTCTGGCATCTCTTCCTCTTCTTATAAGGACATTCAATACCAGAGGATTAGGGTTCCAACTTCCAACTTCATGTAACCTTAAAGGTTCTGTCTCCAAATACAGTTAGAGTTTCAACATAAGAAAGATGTTTGGAGACATTTTGAGAGATACAATTCAGTCTTCCAACCATCATTCTAGTCATGTAATGCTTTAGGGATCAAAATGCATTTTTGTAATTGGTGTAGTTTTTGTTTTTTATTTTAAATCCCTCTAGTCAGACCATGAGCTCTCCAGTCCCTTCCATTCTCTATTGTTCACAAACAGGCCTACTTCATTCCTTTATATTGCTTGCCTGGTCCCTATAGATAATTGAGATTGTGACTCTTGGACACACCTACACATACATGTATATAAGACTATACATGTTGTTCTCTAACGTACATTTCCTTCTTTACAATATAGAAAAAACATCTTTCCATGTCAATAAATACAGAGCTCCATCATTTCTGATGGCTTCATGGTATTACCTGTTATGGATATGCCATCATGATGTCACTCAACTGATAGGTTGTCTCAGCATTGTATTATAATCACAATGTATAATCACACTACATTGAAAATGCTGACTATATATCATTACATACTTTTCTTTTCTCTTTGGGATACAGTTCTCAAGTCTGAAGTTCTAGATGAGTTTGTGTCATCTTTTCTGGGTCATCTTCTGGCATTTGGAACCCAACAAGTCCTTTGTAAATACTATTAATCAGAGGAGCTATGGCAAGTTCTTGCATATACCATCAGGACTGAAAGGAAATTCTCCCCTCCTCTTTTTTTTCTAGACAGAGTCTTGTTATGTAGCTGAGGTTAACCTAGAACTCATTATGTAACCCAAGCTGTCCTCAAACTTGGGATCCTCCTACCTGAGCCTCCCAAGTGCTAGGACTACAGGTCTGTGCCACCATGTCCAACAAAAGGAATTGCTTTTTAATTAACACTAGCCCCTCAATAATGAGTTTTTACTTGCAGGTGGGGCTTTCCCTTTCATACTGGGAAGAATCTCCCATGGATTCAACATGCGCCCAGATCTATGTGCCCAGGACAATTCAAGTGACCCAAAGAAATACCTTGGTTCCTTTTACACGGACTCCTTGGTTCATGATCATCGTCCCTCAAGCTGTTAACAGATGTCATAGGAAAGGTAAGCCAGGTCTGCCATTTGGATGGCTTATGGAACAGAATGCTGGATCAGCAACCAGTCACTTAGCAAGTTAGACAATTTTTAGGGGAAAGGCTACTATGAATTAGTAAAAAGTATGAAAAAATTTAATATGGTCATCTCTTGGCCTACATTCAATGAGTATGAAATTTCCCTCTGTCTTTTGTAGAGAATAGAATTGGTTGGAAGATATATTTTTAAGCATCACATTTTACCCTCTGGCTGCAAGTTATTTATATTCCTCCTAAATGTAAAAACATCCTCCCCCTACCAAGACTATCCCAAAAGTCTCATCCATCTCCAATATCACCTTGAAGTCCAAGATCTCATTATCTATATAAACTTGTGGTAAGGCTTGTCATGTATGATTTCTCTCAGTCTAAAGAACCACAAAGTAAAGAGACAAGTCCCCTTGTATCCCTACACTTAATATGATGACACAAGCAAAGGATTGTTGCTATAGACCTTCCTATTCTAAAAGGGGAGAAAAACAAGAGGTTCAGCAAAGTGACGTCATCTGAATCTACCGGGCATACATTGGCCTCTCCTTGATTCAAACTGAAATCACAGTTTGGCCTCTACCTGAATCATACCTTCTTTTAACATGAACATTA